GTGTGTGTGTATATATGTACGTATACGCACACGTATTAACACAACAGATTGGAGCGAAGGTTATACTGTGCATAGCTCTCAATTCATATTCTGTATAGAATTGTCGTGGACACTTTATCATCGGTTACCAATACACTTTGAGGTGCGATTACGAACTTTCAGAAAGTACACCTGTTGACCTCAAGAGTTGGCGCGCAGTCGTACGCAGTCGCGCACTACAGATCTGTCGAATGCTCAGTCTTTCAGACGATACCAGTTTGAATATATATCCAGACTGTGGCATAATAATATGTACTGGGTTTGACCGGCAGCTGTGTCGTTCATTGTGGACTTCAGGAAACTGGTCTCTTATCGATATATCATATATTTTGTCTGTGGTGAAAGCAGTATGGTTTGTATGTAGACTTAGTATGCGTGTATATAGCCATATAGTGCCTATGAGTGCACATGGGTATACTTAGCACAGGGATGTGCGCACTTGCCATAATACACTGAATCGTACATGTGTATATAGTTTTCTAGATATCTATATGGGTATGTGTGGTTTCGTATACACCTATGTGTATGCGTGTAGGTGCAAACACATCTATGTGTTCATGTATTTTATGTACACATTATTTAACAAATCCATATCACATTTCTTCTGTTTTTACTCGAGAAATGCCTCTGCTTTGTTGCATTAAGCTTGTGTATGCACGTAGATTGGTATCCAGCACGTTTATGCAATGGCTACTGTGTATTGGATATTTGAGATCATTTACAATGGAACAAAACTACGTTTATCACCATGCACACAACCCAATCGCATATATGTATATATAGGTGTATATATATATGCAGGTTTATATGTATATGTAGGTGTACACAACTATACATATATAGGTGTTCTATGTGGAAAATTTTAAAGCATTCTCTCACAAAGAAATGGGTTTTTATACCACTCAACTATTCCTATTTGGCGCAATACCCATTGGTGATATATTTTCCTGTACACACTGAGTTGATTTATGTATGCACACATGGGCACACTATTCTACAGGGGCGTATGGTTCACTTTATATTAACTTTCTATATTACATATTGTCATGTAACATATAATCAGAGTACGTCAGTATTTGACGGAAAAGACTATGTTTGTATATTTGCTTTGCTAGTGTCTGCAAGCATATACTTATCGTATTGCCTATTGAGCAATTGGTTCATAGTTAACTTCTGCTGATTAGCCTTTAGGGTGTATTTGGTTTCTGGGTGTAAGGGCTGTACCATGTTCAAATCACGATTATATCTTGAGTTTAGTGGGGTGAACTTAAGGTTGCGGTCTGAATCATTGCGCTGGAGTGTAGTAGCCTCCTCATACTCGTCGCATTTGGGCACTTTGGGTTGTACACAGATCGAAGCAGACATGACACTCGAAGAATTGAGGGTTAACGATGGAGTGCAAAAGCCTCATATATTCATCGGTATGTAAATCCCAACATCGCGCTTGTATGGAGTTGGCTGCGAAAGAGATCGATGTGCAGGTTATATTCTGCGTTTGTATGGGACGTTTGTATGGGAATGAATGTTTTCTGACTAGTTTAATATTCAAGGCGAAATTCATGTATAGGGAAGTGTATATATATATATGTGTGTGTGTGTGTGTGTGTGTGTGTGTGTGTGTGTGTATATATATATATATATATATATATGTATGTAGTATGTATATATAGTATGTATATATAGTATAAGTATATAGTATAGTGTTATATATATATATAGTATG